AAGGTCTTTCCCAACCTAAACGATTCTATGATTCTATGATCTATTTATTATTTAAAACACTGAAATGATTATTTGCTATCGGGGGTTATGGAACAAATGCCAGAAACACGGAAAGACTGAAGATGGGCAACGCAACACCTCATTAGGAGGATACTAACGCATTTCAAGGAACGCAGTAAAAGAACAAAACAAAACATGCTGCAGGATATTAAAATGCTTTTGAGGTAACCCCTGGTTCATTAGCCTCACACAAAATAACATTCTCTTTTTCAGTACTAAAGTTAAAAATTACTTAAAATAAGATTGTTTCCAGCATCGTCATCAGGCTTTGACTGACAAGAGTGCCTCTTGGCAAGCCATGTGGGTCCAACCCCGACCTCCCTGTTTCTCTGAACGGTCCCTCCCTGCGTGGCAGCCATCAGTTGTTCGGCATGCTGGGCTGATGGACACAAGAGAATGCTACTTTTTAAAAAGAGTTGGGGTTTTTTTTGTTTTGTTTTTTTTTTTTTAAATAATTATTTCTGTTAGAAAAATGATCCCTGGTTCAAATAGCCAAGAAGTTGAATCCTTGTGGTTTGTGATAGGGAAAAACCAAACCCCACAATTAAGACAACTGCTGCACCAGGGTCAGGTGGGATGCTGGAAGATCCGCTGTATGGTTTGCTGTCTGACCTGTGCATCTTCTTCCTGGTAGTTCTGGAGGAGTAAAGTGAAGGTTGAGACGAATAACGTTGTCATTTTTCAAACGGAGACAGAAGCTCTGACAAACATTAGGATCTGGAGTAATGCCGTGTCACGCAACCTATGTTCCTGACCATCTTGTGACTTTATTCCCAGCATGGTGCCTGAGAAACGAGGGGGTGAGCTCCGTCCTTCTAGGATCTTCCAACCCAGAGCAGCTGATAGAGAACCTGGGAGCCATACAGGCAAGTGCAGGCGGTGGGGGCACCTCAACGGAGGTGTGGGGGGTTAGCCGCTGCCCAGCTCCCTTTGGGGGTTGCACCAGCACACCTTGAGACTAGCACCCTCCTCCTCTTAATATAGTTTTAATATTTCGTATTTTGTTTCAGGCATCTTCCAGTTCTAGTAACGCACGTTCATTAGGCAAACCTACGGTGCGTCACCATGACTTACCACCGTCGGTGGTAGTTACAGCCGTATCTGGCAACAAGAGGGTGGCATCAGCAGCTCTAGCGTATCTGAAAAAGCGAGCGACCCGATGCCAGGACGTGGTGTGATATATTCTGCGCCATGTCTTCCACAGGGCACATGTCGCTCGCGCCCACCTTAATTATTCTCCGTTGCTTTTCACGATAAGAGCTCCCTCTGATGTTCTTGCCGCCAGCTCGCTTTCCACTGCAGCCAAGTAATATTGTGCATATAAAGTTTAGGAGCGCTTCTGCGATTCTCTCACAGGGTAAAGATACTACAGTAGTTTTTCCTTTAAGGCAGAAAGGTACTAGGTGAATGTTGAAATATCTGTCACACGAAAGAATAGAGGAAACATTATTTGATAAAACCTAGATTTAAATTTGGAAAAACCCTTTAACGGAGGCTTGATTAAACATCAGTTTTCTTCTACCCCTAGGTCCTTCCGAAGATGACATCCCATATTGTAAACGAAATAGATAATATTCTGGGAAATAAGCCCTACAGCAAGAAGGACTACAGATCATAATGCAATGCATGAATTACCTGGACTGCATGGTTTAAAAAGTGCTCTGTACAGAAGTACAGCCCCGAGTTAATATCCGGTCATGAGAATCATTCAGCAGCTTGCTGCTCGGTGTCTACTGTCACGGGATCCTTCGAGATGTGTGCTGTCGCTACTAATCTGCAGTGAAATTCAAAAGCACAGTTGATCTCTCTTCTAACCAAGAATAATCTTGTATTTTCTTACCTTCGACTGAATTCATTAATTTTTACTTTACTCTTAGCACCTCATGCTTGTGCTGTGAAAAACACTTGTAAAGCAAAAAATAATTTATAACCTTCAGGTACTTGGTAATTAAAGAAGGATGTACAGATCTATTTTTTCAATGAAGAAAAGCCAGATACAACTTAAGGTTTTAATAAAACCACATTTGGGAAATCCCAACTATAAAGTTTCTTCAGGTTAACAGATAGAAGGGGCAAGCTCAAATTTTCCATTTCCTTTTTTATGCTGAATATATGCTTTAGACTTTGCTTGTAGTTGAACAAAGGATGTAAGACAGAGAATTAGCTAGAAATTAGATAGCTCAACTCCTAACTATACAATTATTTCAGCTGTGGAATGCTCCTGGGAAGTATTTCTGAGTACGAGCCAGAAGAGCACAGTTAGAAAACCCAAATACGCATGTCAGGTTAATAAAAACAACGGCTGTTTGCAAAATTCTAATTCTACGTAAATCTTAAACCAAGAAATCCATGATAAAATACTGGGTTTTGCATCTGTAGAAACCTGCCTCGACTTCTGCCTGCTTGTAGACATAGCTATTGCAAATTTCAATATTCGTGAGCTTTTAAGGGTATAGATACTTATATATAATACATAGCTGCTGAAAAATACCAGAAAAAAAATCAGGTACGTACGTTGGTGGAAGGTCATGTTTGCTTTAACTCGTTCTGGAATCGGGCATAAGTAAATTCATAGTATCTTTAAGACACATTTTAAACGGGTAGATGTTTTGGGTTTTTTTTTTTTTGTGAGCATTTCATCCCTCTACAGGGGTTGATAGTGGGCACGTACATATTAATTTGCCCACCTCAAGAACCACGTCATATTTTACCATGAGTTTGCTTTGTAAAACGCACCTAGGATTTCAGTAAGTCTTTCTCTCTCGTATTGAGTCACGTACTTTGGGCACATACTTCCTGGGGGTACAGCTATGTACAGTATGTGTAGGACCCTCGTACTCTAGTCCCCGTGACTCGAGGCGATCTGCAGAGCGGGCGCAGCGCTCAGCGGGCCGCGTGAGCAGATACCAATACTCGAGTTGTCTTCTCCTCTATTTAATCCGATGAGCTACGGTCTGTGTAAATGAACTTAGCTGCTGTATATCCAGAAACGCAGTCTGACTTTGACTTCTGCTTGGACACAATAAAAGCGTTTTGTGCATCTGATTTTGTACTTAGACAGCTGTTACTAATAGCGAGGCTGGTTGCTGAAACAGCAGCGTTTTGCGTTGGAAATGGATACGTATGGTTCCCCAGGGACGCGCTGATCTTCACCTGTACCCGGGTTGGGCAAGGGACAACGAGCTTGGGCCAGAGGAGCGGGTACGGCCGGGGAGCGGAGCGCTGCGCGTCTCGGAGAAGGTACTTCTAGAAGGTAGTCTCCTGGGGCAGACATCAGCCCTGTGTGACGTTTGGCCTGAAATAAGCACAAGGTGAACGTCCTCCCGACAGTTGGCTGAAATCCCACTGCGGTTCAGTCACCGGCCCCTCCAAAACGACGCCGGGCTCAGTCACAGCTCGCCGAGGTGGCGACCGCCACCACAGCACGGCTCACCTCCCCGCTCCGACCTTCGCTGCTTGGGCCACGGCCCCTAGCCTTGCAGTATTAGCTGGGAGAATTAACTCTTGAAGTATTTCAAAATCTGCTTCACGGGCAGCACAAAGGCTTTGACCATTACACAGTTAACAGCTTTATTATTTTAACAGTATAATTATTCTCCCAGTAGCAGACTAGTTCCTCTTCTTACCTTGGGAGGAACAATTCAATGTTCTCTCCTCCCCTTCTCGGATACATGGGAATCAACAATATATGAAAAATACATTAATTCCCAACCTTTTTTTTAATTGAAAATGAGATGGTGTCATCCCTTAGAGCAAAAACTTAAAGTCAGCTTGCCTAATGCTCCGAGGGCAATGGGGTGCTGAGCAGTAGCCTAGCTTTAGGCGAACCTTCAGCATTATACTGAAGGAACCGGGTGCAGCTTGTAGGGGGGATTGCAAGGGGGGAAAAAAACCCCAAAGAGCCAACCTTAAAAGCAAACAAAAATCCAAGACAACAACAATAACAAAACCCCAGCGCTTTTCTGTGAAGAAGGCCACAGAGAAGACCAGGCTTTCTGTAGAAAACAACCCAACCCACCCACCTGCTTTTGTTTCAGGCTGTCAGTGCTGCAAAGTTCTCTCTCTCCAGAAAAATTCTGACACACGCCATGGCTCCAGGCCTCAGCAACTGTCAATACCGAAAAACTAAGGTAAGACGAAAAGCTGTTAGTAAAAGACTCAGCGAACTGACAGTAATAGCAGAAGAAAGCGCTGTTTCCAATTGCTTTTCTCTAGATGGCAGACTTCCCGGAAAATACGCCTCCCGCTTTCTAAAACGCCTGATAGGTCAGTCTTATTCCTAGTAACGCTGACAAGTGAAATTAATATAATAGCGTTGTCTGTTCATGTGTCTCAGTTTAAGTAAAGTGCTGTGTGCTTTTGGTAGGAGCTGAGCAAATCACCAGCGACCAGCAAAACAGCAGCAGTCAAGTCCTGCTGCTTACAGAGCAGGTGACTTGGCCTCATACTTGATTCTGACCGTTTATAGAAGTTTGTTAGAAATTTGGTTTACATGTGCTAAATACTTAGACTAAAATACATACAAATTATACCCTTAATAATAAGTGATGGGCCAAGGAAAGTAAAATTATGCAAGCAATATGGAAAGGCTCCTTTCAGTAGAGAATAAGCAGGCAGAAGCAATAAAGAAAAATCCACATATTTTTGAGGGAAAACAATCAATCAAGTTAATTTGAAGAGTGTTAAATGGCTGACCAGAAAAGTAGTTTCAACAAGCAGCTCTGAAGTGCACCAAACCCACTGGAATTTTCATGATGTAAGCACATAGATAATATTACCTTTACTGGGAAGCAAACTAAAAGTAAATTATGCAGCGGGGAGTTGAGATTGAAGACCCTCATCCGACCCCAATCCCAAAGGATGCTGAAGAGAGAAGTACTGTAAGAATCAGCAGGCACTGGGCAGCAATTAGGTGATAGTTTTGTGAGGCTGTCCTGGTTGTGTTTGTCAGAAATAGAGACTTTACAAACTCAGCATGCTCTAAGGCAAGCCAGATATGCTGTCTCCTGCACTTCTGAATCTTCATTTTACTGTATTTTACATAAATACAAATCTTACCGAAGTAAAGATTAGCAAAGTAATTGTGACATTAAATCTGATTATAAGCTCTCTCTTTCTTCCCTGTTTAGGATTCCAAGTCTGTCATGGCAAAATCTGTAACTTCTCCAATACAACTCCATTAACAGTAGTAGAGTTTCCATTTAACCTAACAGCTGCTTTGCTGATAGCACAAAAAAAAGTGCAAAAGGCCAGTCATTAGACAAACCCATTCTAAAAAGCCAGCTAAAGCATTTTTGTTAAGCTGTGCCAGGAAAACTGGCAGGTTTTTTTTTTTTTTTTCTTTTACATTTACATCTTAAGAGAGGAATAAAAAAAAAAAGTACATAAAAGCCACTCCAGAAGTACTTTTCTAGGAGACACTATTTAGGTTTTGTCCTGACTCCAAGTTACTTAAAAATGAGGAGTATTTCCAATGAAAACAATACATATGCTGACTTGTAGAAGACCCCCCTTTTCTGGAAGCAGAAAGAGTTGACAAACCTACTGCTTGCCCGTGAAAATACCCCATTTTTTTAAAGTAAGAATGGAAACTCAAGGAATTAAATGACAAAAAAAGCCTCCTTTTTATTAAAACTATTCACGTTACAATGCTAAATGGTGGATTGTCACTTTTTATGATCAGTGTGTTTGGCTCTTACACCAGTCACCAAACTCGCAGGGGAATTTGTTACAGGTTTTCAGTACAACCGTTTGTGCTGCTGTGTAGCAGGCCCTTATGGTGCGTTTGTCTAACGGTCTGTAGCACCACCACACCTATGCAGTGCTGCAGGAAGGTTACGTTTGGTAACTGCTCACACACCATTTCCTTTCATTACTAAGTAAAAAAAATTGATTAATTCAGTTATTGAATAATATCATGTAAAGATAAAAGTAAATATAACTCAACCATTTCGGATTCAAACCCCCTCCCATACCCTCAAGCAGTCACACTATAAAAAAAAAAATGTATTCCTATTCCACCCTTAAACTTTTGTATGTTGTTGTTGTATGCAGTTGAACCCTCTCACAGAAATAAATTGCTGTGCACGTATTTTTTTGGTCTACTTGGATCCTGTAGATAGCAGAGCAATCAGTCCAGATGAAGCACTTATAGAAAGAATATAGTTTCTGTACGGAAAAGGTTAAGGACATATATACCACTTCTTTTGTACAGGACATTTAGTAGAAGTTTTTTGAAAAACAAGGAATTGAAATGGTCTTTCTCTGTAGGAGTTTTAAAATTGCAACACCGTCACCTGAAATACAGCTTACAATCAAGGCTGCTAGCAGGACGTTGAAATGCACTTAACTTCAAAATTAAGACACCCATAAAGTTTAGCCTGTTCTCTTAGGAGTTATTATAAATACTGTTAAATACTGCAGATCTTTAATTAACATATGTGGCCCTGTGTTTCTGCAAGAACATGAGCTGCCTCCTCATTCCACAATTACAACAGAAACGGCAAAGCTCTTAAGATTTCTGTATATTGTCCAAATGATATCCTTAAACATCTCATTTGGACGTTAAACTTTGATGTGACTGGGAGATTTTTTTTTTTTTTTTTGTAATCTCTATTTTTATGTCACAGTGTTTCTAAGTTGAGGTACTACAATGAACTGCCCATATCAACAGAGTAATCTCACAACCCACATGACAAATAGAGCTACTAATGACAACAAACAGGAGTAGGACTCTGGTTGTTTCAAGCATGATGATAAAGGATACACAGTGGGGTTGAAGTTCTTCAGCACAAAAAAGGAAGCAATGATGACCAAGACCAGAAAGAGAGTATTGTTGTAGAAGATGGAAAAAGTTGTTGCTTCATAATCTGCAACTTCATTTTTCTTCCACAGAATTCTAGGAGCAAGTAGAGACGTTATTTCAGGCATATTTAAATCAATGCATAGCCTGGCACACCCACCATTAGGAAGCGACTGACACCCAGAGGTGTAGGAAACCACATACTGCTGCTCTTGTTCTAGCCAGCTTCTAGAAGTCAGAGCGCAGCAAGAACTGCCAGTCAGCTCACTAGTTGACGACAGAACCCCGCATATCCTATGCATTCATACACTTAAGTGACTTACGCTTGTTTTCCTACCAGGCACATCAAACCTAGCCCGTTATAAATAACACTTTTTGTGAGTTTGTATCTGCTAGATGCTACCAGCGTGCCTGGAAGACAGGGCTTTTTGCTCCAGAGCGCTGACAGTTCCTGTCCTTGCGTCTTGTACGTAATGGGCATCTACTCTAAGTGCTCCCCGATACGCTCATCAGGCATAGCCTGGATATTAGTGCGAGCTGTTCAGCTGGAAATCTGCATACTGACACGTGCCAGTTGTAAGCACGAGGGGTAATAAGTGCAACCAGTAATCACTGTGGTGCATCCAGCAGTTTATGGAAATGCTATTCTGCAGGAACTCGCACGTCACTATGCAAAATACATTGCGCTAGCGTGTCCTTAAGAAAAGGAGCTTCTCCTATTTCTGAAGACAGCTGGGATGCTTACACCTCAGAGCGTTATTAGAAGGCCTGTGCAAAAAGTTGTTTTGCTTTGCAGCTCAAGGACAGAGAGGTTGCCTTATAGGACCTTACTGATAAAGGTTTCAATGTTTGAGACCTTTCATTGATAACTTGCCTCAAAAAGGCTTTATAGATGAACAAAGAGCTGACAGTACAGCTTATACTTACCAGAATACAGAAAAAAACCTAACGGCTAAGCAACAGTCCCTAATAGCCTACCTAGAGCCTTAAAGATACCAGGCAGTATTACAACAGGGAGAGAAAGAAGAGGATTACCTTTCATCCTTCTCCTTACGAGACATCTTCCTATTGTCTGCCTCAGACAGCTTGCGAGTAACTTCTTTGGAAACAGCGTCTTCTCTTTTCTGTGCTACCCTGTAAGAAACACCATTTAAGTTGAAAAATGAAAATAAACCAACATGGGATTGTACAAAAGTTCTATTTACAGTGAATAATAATACGCCGCCAAGACACTGAACAGTTTTGCCAAGTTGAAGGGACAACAAGTAATAATCAAATGACTAAAAGTATTAGTCAAATATAGTTTGTGGCAATACCCACCGAGAATGAAGGTAGTTTTACTATTTCGTTGTACACTTAGCTGACAAGGCTAGTCTACTCCATAGTTACCAGAGAGATGACAGAAAACAATTAGGAGATGCTTCTGTGTAAAACAGTTTTTGGAGGAACACTTCAGCCATTCTTATTCACAAAAAAAAAGAAGTTGTAAATGCTGGTTTTGTTAAATTATTTAATAATAAATTCTACTTCAAATAGCCACCAAACTTACTTGTGTTTGAGAACAAACTTGACATTCTTATACGCAAAAGCTACTAGATAGGTGCTGATGAGGGTCATTACGCTATACAGGACTGCGGACTGAACTAGATCCATGTGCCATATCCTCCAGTAAAGCCCTTAAAAGAAAAAAAAAAAGACGTTTTGAGTTGAGTGGTTTCTCTCTTCAAGAAAAATATCCCCACAGGAGCCCTATGCAGCTTGCTAGCTCTGTAATTCGGCACCGGCTCTGCCAGACCAAAGCCAGTTCCTGCAAAATCACTTGGGGGTCTCCGAACTGCATTAAAAAGTACTTTCGAAGAGAGAAATCCGCTTTGCTTTTGGCTGCAGGGGGCCTTATGAGACCCCATCAAACTCCGCCGCGAAGCAGCCCAGCGCAGCCACCCCGCCAGCTCCCCGCAGCGCCGATGCTGACACGTCAGTGCTCGACCAGCAGCTCGTCCATCTTTACGAACCGCAGCGCAAGCACCCCGCCCGCTGTTCCAAGCAGCGCCGGCTTCGAAGCTGGATCTAACACGGCACGGAGGTAGCCAAGGCGGTCCCGCCTGGGGTGGGCTTAAAGCCGGCCAGACCCGGGGCAAGGCGAGCACCCATCAGCACGGGGACCCGCAGCCGGCAGCGGACCAGGAGCCCG